CTTGATATTTCAAAAATAAAAAAATTCAAGTTGATAAAAAAAATTACAAAATGCCCCCTTTTTATAATTTTATTGTATTTAGCATTTTAAAAAAGGGTGACTTTTTAAAAAGTTGTGGATATCGAAATATTAGCAATAAAACGCTTTTCTGAAACAATAAAAATAAAAATGGGATGTTTCCATAAAAAAAAGACTTGTAGCGATTTTTTTTCCTTATAAAATTTTGATAGTATTTAATTACTCTGTATGCATAATAATAGAATATTTTAGAGTTAGAAGTGGATCCAAACAATTTTTGGTATTAATTTTTTTTTTACAATTTTTTTACGGGTTCTCAGATAAGGTGTCATCCCATAATGGGCACCCTATCTTTATACCTACAAGGCGGCCCTTGCAAACTAAGGCAGATGCAATACGATTTTTAACTAATTTCTCGGGAGGTGGTGGGGGGGCTAGGCGTCGAATATCGTTTTCCGAAATAGACGGTTAGCGTGCGCAATTAGAAACCATTCCTCATCAATCCGGTAATTTCGGCGGGTCCGGGCAATTAATTATCGCCGTCAACAATGGAATAACAACCGGCGACGATAATAAATCTCATCTCGGATCATTGAGGCATGACACGACAAAGAGGTAATGCAAAATCGTTACTCGCGGTTCCAAGTAAACTCGAACTCCTATAGAGAACCGAACAGAATTTTCGAAGTAATGCACAGTCCTTATTGGGGAAATGTGGCACTATGTAAATGTATCGACTATGGAACAGAAGCTTAAATTGGATTTGATTTCCATATAAGGACGAGTTTGACATCAAATCTCGTAATAACATGGAAATCGCACCCAAACCTGATTTCTCGCTGCTGGGCGCTCCGTTAATTTCTTGCTTACATGGAGTCAAACAATTCTGAATGGAAATAATCTACCAAGACAAACAAAAATTAGAAACCAAACTGACTATAAACTACCCTTAGTGAATGGACTTAATGCACTTGTGCGCCAGTAGGGGCAACGAGATACGGGCGGTCCTAGAAATTAAAAAAAAAAGATTAAATCGACCAAGAAAATAATGGAAGTTATTTTCGAGTTGCTGAAATGGCAACCCGGGGCGTAATTCTTATCTTCAATTTTAAAACTCGGTTTCTACAAAAATTTCTAATGTTATGGAAGGTACTCTTTTAAAGCCTGGAAAAATTCTATTCTTTTCGGTTTAATGCTGTTTGCTCTATCTCAGCAAGGAAAGTCGTGGGGCGTGGTCGCACATTTTCTTCAATAAATATCAATCGTACTATGAGTGGGTCGATTGAAATTGCTTACTCTACCACCAGGTCGCGTTTTCTAACATAGTGGCAAAAAAATATAATATTCTGAAAAAATAGTGCATACAACGATATTAATTTTCTTTGTATCATTAGTCAAATAAGCTCACAACAACCAAGTGATACCTTTATCCTAACATAAAGATGAATAAATAGCTCTACGCCAAAGAATGATGGATTTTGAGGAAATTTTTTACTTACGGTTTGTTATTATTTGCGAAACAAAATGCTAATTTATTATTGGTTGAAATGTTATTATTTATGTTTATTACCTTTTTTACAATTTCTTTCAAGGGCCACAAATTACTTTGTTATTGAAAGTTTTATATTTTGATATGCTTATCTGTTTTCAAATATTTAATATTATCACTTATTTTAGCATTAAAATTTACGTTTAATCACTAATTCAGCAACTAGTGGGAAAACTTTTTAAAAATTAATTAAAGATCTTTTTTGACAGAAATAATTCATTGCCAATTATCAAGATTATTGTGAAAGCAAATATTGTGTTTATCTGACCAAATCATGTCTCTTGATTGCCTACCGTTTTAAATAGTTTAAATTTGTTAAATATTTAATTATTGCAATAGGAATATCTTATCTAAAATCATCGTAATCCATTGCCTAGAAGAAATCGTCGTGCAATGAATAAAGAAAAATACTGATTATACATATGTAAATCTAACTATGTCTTGACTGACCTGTTTAACACCATATATCGGACGGGCACAATACCTAGACAGTGGCTCCTTCGTTGCCATCCCCAAGAAACCAAACGCCACAACATGTGCTGATCATCGAACCATATCTCTAATGAGTCATACACTAAAGGTGTTCCTTAAAATTATTCACAATCGTATTCTGAGAACCCTTGAAACGGATATGAGTAACACCCAGTTTGGTTTTAGAAATGGAATGGGTACGAGAGAGAGGTTTGGTATAAACGTGTTGGCCTAAAGATGTCTCGATATGAACCAAGATATATATCTGGGGTTCATTGATTTCGAGAAAGTCTTCGATAAGGTGAAACATGAAAAACTAATTCTAACGGCTAAAAACATTGACAAGGGCGACATCAATATAATATCAACACTGTATTGGAACCAAACAGCTAGGGTCAGGTTAGACGATCAATATACCGAGGACATCCATATACTGAGGGGCGTACGACAGGGCTGTGTTCTGTCGCCATTGCTCTTTAATGTCTATAGTGAGGCCATATTCCGGGAAGCGTTGGATGATTGCTCAGAGGGGATAAAGATAAACGGCGAAGTTCTCAACAACTTTCGATTCGCCGATGACACAGTGATCACAACAGATAACATCGACGATTTGCAAAATCTAATGCATAGAATAAATACATGCTGCAACAAATACGGGTTAAAGATCAACCTTAACAAAACAAACATTATGGTCGTCACTAAATCACCACGCATAAACTGCCACTTAGCTATAAACAACACCAACATCGAAAGAGTGGACTCATACATATTCTGTGATGACCTCGAGCATGGAAGCATGGACGCTGAAGCAGGTGCATATAAATAAACTGGTCGCATTTGAGCTCTGGTGTTACAGAAGGATCCTGAGGATATCGTAGACAGAAAGGGTCTGAAATGCTGAGGTGCACAGAAGGATAGGATGTGAACCGGAAATTTTGGTGACAATCAAAAAACGAAAACTTGAATACATGGGACATCTAATGAGGGGCCCGAGATATGGCTTGCTACAACTAATTATTCAGGCAAAAATCCGAGAAAAAAGAAGTGTCGGAAGGCGAAAAATATCTTGGCTGAGAAATCTGAGGGATTGGTTCGGATGTAGCAGCACCGAGCTGTTTAGAGCGGCTGTCAATAGGGTCCGCATTGCCATGATGGTTTCCAACCTTCGATAGAAGATGGAATTTTAAGAAGAAGAAACCTAACTATTAATAGGACTATAAGTGATAATTCTAAATATTTAAAAACAGCTAAGCATATCAAATCGTAGAATTGTCAACTACGGGGTAGATAATTTGGTGCGTTCGGAGGGTATTATTTGGAAAATTCCAGATAATTAGACATTAATAACAATTTTTTTTTTGGGCGTTAAGTTTTTTATTTATGTTATAATGTTTATTTAGTTATTAGAGAATTTTTTTGTGCGATTTTATTAGAAGACTCCACCTGGTGACTCATGGTATCATCAATAACGTAGGAAAAGCCCTATGTAAGATTTAAGATAATGTTTGAACACTCCAACTACTTTCTTTGCAAATATAGAGCAAACAACATTAAACAAACGAGATCAGAGTTTTGAAATTGAAATTATGGTTAATATTATATTGTTTGGAGAAATCAAATTTTTAAATTTAAGTTGATAATTACGCTCCTTTCCAACATTTCCTCCTCTTGGTCGATTTACTTAATAACATTTCTTAAAAATTTCTAGGTACGTTTGTTTCCCTAATAGCGTCTCAACGACTTCTTAACAATTATCAATAACTATTTGCTACGGTTTTCATTAAAAATGTAAATAAATATTTAACTTCGATAATCACCACGTCAGATGATAAGATTAAATTATTTGCCTTTGTAAAGAAGCTAAAAACTTTTGTAAAGGGTTGGGGGAAGGTGGTTGTAAATCACCCTCAAAATTTAAACGAGAAAGAGCGGCAAGAAAACGGTAGGACATACAACACCCGAAACGGTTAATCACCCACCTTGATGGTTTCCCGCGTCGTCGTCTGCCCGGCCGGGTCTTCTTAGGGGTATTTTCTGGAAGGTTGGGGGTGGTAAGGACCACAACACAGCGCGGGGTTCTCGCGAACCGGTCACAGAAGAGAGCTTGTTTTTTCGTGGTTCGCACTACGGACGCTCACGCAAGTCTGTCTTTTCGCGCGGCTTAACCAAGGTTGGGTATGGTGGGGGTGTTGTATACACAGCGCGAAAATAAAAAGTTAACTCAAGGGAAAAAAAATTATGAAGTTACCGAAGAATGTTATTCAACCCTTAACAACTTTTTTTTTCTTCTGTTTGATGATGGATTTTTTTATTATTTATAATATATCTATTATATACACATGGCCTCCTGAGAATGTACACTATTAACAACATATTTTACAGGAAAGTAGGAAAAAGTATTTTCTTAATGAAAATCAAGGAACAAATTTCGTACTTACACTTTTCATCTATTATTCCGAGTGCTCGCAAAAAATTGATTCATTTGCGATAGTCTCAGAATAGAAAAAGAGGTATTTATGGGTTTATTTTTAAAGCACCAATTGCGAACGCAGCCACTTGTGTTTTATACACCTTATTTATCCACTCATAAATAACAATGCTAAACCGAACGGATTTGAAACTTGTTAGTGGATGGGAAAAATATGTGCTAGAGGAAAGAGCAAAGGAAAGTTTGTAGACTAATTGTAGAAAACACCCACGTTACGTTGAATTGTTTCCTCGCTAGGGGTGCTTCTGAAATATTTAACTTTTATGATTTTTTAAAGACGTCTTAAAAAGAATCTTTTAATTATTAATTACATTGAATAATCAATTTAGTGAATTAACTATTCATACCTCAAAAGTTTGTCATTAATTTCCGTTGTTCATTCGTTATAAATAACTCTTTTTGGGGAAGTCGTCAGAACGAGGGTCAAAACGTAAGTACGAACTTATACAATATTGATTTCGTTTTATATTTTAGGTCTGAAACAAAAATTCGTTCTAATGTTGTACGCTGGGGACCTTGCCGTTGCCAATATATCGGCCCTCGCTACCCCAGAATTTTACATTCCGAATTTGGAACCTGCCCAAGAATATTATGCTTCAATTTATTCATTCAACTCAAAAGGTTTGTATAAATTTATATGCGCATAGGAGCCGCGAGCGAAACTAGTTTTTATTTATGCTTCGCCATTACTCCAACTTTATGATTTTAATGAATTTACCTGAAAATTTACGGTTTTTGGTTTCCGATTTTTCCACCTCGTATTTAACTTGGAATTATGCTGCGTGCATGATACTCATATTATTATACACCTTACCTCAGTAGATAAATACTTTTAAAAAGGCTGTTAAATATAAAACTTTATAACATTAAGACAAGCACATGTATAGTGTGTCCATTCTTCGTTGCTTTACGGGGTATCCCAATTATTATTAGAAATATGGTTTTCGTAACAGTGTGCTCGATCTTCGTGAAACAAAAGTTTCTATTCTTAAAACAATCCTAGCATGTTTTGTTTTTGAGATACAGGGTTAAAACACCATTAACCATTTCAATTGCCTTTTGTATTTTACATCACCTTCTAGATACTTTTCGCATACTTTTCGAATTCTTCTTGGGGCATTTAATAGAACAAATGGTCTTACTTCTGTGGTGTCTCATTGTATCTCTACACTTTGTAAAAAAAAATCTAAATCTTGGATTCTACGTTCTAAATAATTATTCTCGGAAATACCCAAAGAAGAATTCGTAAATTGTGCGGACAATATCTGGCAACTGGCGAAAATCAGTTGGAGCAGTTTTTTTTAAGTTTACTGTTTTTATATTATATTCGGATTTTTGTCATAAAACAATAATAAGAATAATATGTTTACTAGAATAAAATTAAAACAGGTAAATGTGTATAAAAAGCGCAATCAAATAAAAACAGTATATTATGCAACAATTGTGGTAAACGACATTTGGCACGAACGGAGCGAGTGATTAATAAACGAGTGCCTTAAAAAGTTTACCAAACGTGTTGCTTACTATAATTTTTCTGCTACCGTTAGTTTTTCGGTACATTTTTGCAAAACAGCACGAATAAATTCACTGACTTGGCCGTCAGAATTGACAAACGTGACAAATTGACAAATTCAAGCCGTGCGGTAATATCTCGGAAATGTCCGAAGTGCATCCGATCCGTAGGAAATAGTGGTAACGTGGTGGTGACGTGGTAAAATTACACTTTTCGCATGCTAGATCGGTTTATAATTTGGTATTTTAGACAAGGGAGTATAGGGTGTTCCGTTTTAAAAAGCATAACTTTAGCTTACATCTTAAAAATAATATGTTTTGCAACAAATCCGAGGACGCCATTGGATTCTACTTAAATACGTCCATAAGATTTTGTTTTCATCATCTTTGTTGTTGTTTTGCACACCGTTAAATTTCCAGATTTTTTTTTAGTATAAACTCCCGCAAATGACATTATATGTTGATACTGAAATAAAACAAGATTTAATTATATAAAAATTTATTCTACCAGTTGACTTAGATCGCTATTACTGTATATAAAGTTTATGCAAGCTAGTTTCAAATTTTTGAAGGGGTTTACTTAACCTTATGGAAGATTATTGAATAGAAATGTTACTAACACTTTGTAAACAACAACATTAAATAATATAAGAAACTTCACTTCTGCTCTATTAAATGCTTTGCAATTAAACGAACGGGTGACGTTATTTCCCTCATTTGAAAAATTAGCTTCCGTTTCAAGATATAATGTTGTATGTAAGGGGTATGTAGGTAAGTAAAGTAAATTTTTGTATTATTTTATTTCCCAAAACTGTGATTAAAAAGTATATTTAGTGTATTTATGTCAATTAAGCGACACAAGCAACACTTGTAGATATTGTCGCCTCAGTCAATCCCATTAAGATATGCCCACCCCTACATTATCTTGATTTAGTCGAAGTAAACAGTTAGCCTTTCCTTCTACAGGATCGTCAAAATATCCTAATTCTCTGCAAATACGTACACTCCCTGCGCCCGGTCTGAAAGAACTCCGAAGATCGACGGAACCGTCCGAAAGCCCGACAAAGGCCATATCAGGACCGTGGTTATATATTATGCTAGCTGCTGGATCAACGTTGATAGTCGCAGCGGCTGTGGGGCTCATAATATTTGCCATTAGAAGGTTCAGGGTAAGCACACAAATCCGGTTTTCTTTTTTCTTAATGAACATGTATTAGATGCTATATTGATATATCGACAACGACTTACATTACGATGACAGTTAAATTAGACACTCGAGATATTTAATGTTTTTTATGCAGAAAAGACTCCCACCGCAAAAAAGCGAGTTTGTCACCTATTCATGAAATTAAAGTAATTTTCTATTTTGCTTGTTATAAAAGAATCCCAACCGAGCAAAATAAAACAAACACAAATCCAATTGCACAGACACCATCAACTTGAGTTTTTTAAAAGCGTTCGCTTTTTTTCAGTTTTTGTTTTCTTTGGGCGTCCTGGACAGTGTTTTGTAGTTTTTGTAACTCATTATACAATACTGAGATATGATGTTGCTGTCGCATCCCGGGTCAGTCTGTCTGCCATTTCGTGGCCCGCAATACCCACATGATCGGGTACACAGACCAGATTCATTGAATTACGTTATGCCAGTCTTGTTAATGTTTTTCGGCAATCAAGTAGCGATCTCGAGCTTATCTTCACAGAGCTAAGAGCCTGGACGGCCGCTCGACTGTCGCTGCAAATATAAACATGCCTCTCCGAGTATTCTCTGTTGAGGTTCTCGAGGACACACATTAATATTTCATAGATCTAGATTCCCAGAGGCTCAGATAGACCCGTCCATTTACTCATGAGACACAAGAATATTTTCTCCGTCACAAAGACACTCGTCCTTTGTAAACATCCTCGCTCTGTATGGTGTATGGAAGCATAAGATCTCAATCCTGTCTCCCTTCATAGAAAGGGCATCTCGGTTCCCACCTGAGACAGATATCAGTTGTCGCTGCCCCTCTGCTCACTGCTTCGAATTTCCTAGAATCTGCTATCTAAGGTCGATCTCCGGGCCTCAGGCCTCACCTTAAGGTGTAAGAGCTCGAGTGCTATTAATTCATTTTCGAAAACGTTGCTTCCTTTCCAGCATCCTTGCATAGATCTCAGTCGTATTTACTTCCGCATGGAGTATGCTGAATACATCTCGGTTCTTTGACTAACCCCTGCCCCCTCGCGCTTGTATCTCCCCCAGATATTTTCCTCCATAGAGGCAGTTCGCGTGGTTTTCCCTATTATGCAGCTCTAGTGCTGTCCTGATATCGTGTGTCTCAGTGGAGCGCCTCCATCTCAAGGCAGCGTAGGTAAGGAATTGTCTTACCACTATCTTGAACATCCAGAACACAATTGGTTGCTTCAGCCCCTAGTTGTGTTTACAGGGGCGACGGCACATCCACAGAGATGCACAGCCTAACGGCTTACTTCATTCCAGAGGAGCTTGAAATCACCCCCAGATACTCACTCTCCGGAACCGGTTTCAACGTTACACACTGCAAAACAGAGCACGGGGTTGCACCTTGCTTGCTTTTGTTTATGAACAGAACTAGCTCGATTTTTGTCGGATTTATCGACAAGCTTTTCTTGTTCACGATATTCGCTGGTTCAATCAAGACCCCGTTTTATGTTCTCCGTCAGGAGTCCTTTGATCGATACGCGAATCGTCCGCATAGGTCTGTGTGTAGTAGTATAGCCCTAACTATTCCTCCAGAAGATCGTCCAGCAGAAACTCCTGCATCTATGGCGATAGAACAGAATATAAAGTTAAGAAAATTTAAACATCATCTTAACATTAACAGTTGCCGATACACCATTACCCTCCCCATAAATTAGTTGAGACCCGGTATAGTAGAATTTAGAATTTATTGTGAGTGACCACTATTCCGGCCTTCCTGCGCGACCTAATGATCTGTTGTCTATGTCTATGTGTATAGTAACATTCTGAAGCACAACTGACACTTGTCAACATTGGCTATTTCGATCTTGTACATGTGGTATTTGAGGCTGCAGTGTCAGATTTAATCTGTTCCTTTATTGCTAATAGAGTCTCAGTCATTTCTTCGTATGGCATTCTGTCACTGTCTTCGAATGGACCAACAATTGCAGCCTGTATTTGCGAGTTTGCTCTGCTAGCTAGACCTTGAGTGCATTATTTTCCGATTTGCCTTGGACAATCTGTGCTCCTTTGTTCACCAAGACGTTTTTTTTATTACATTCCAGTCCACTTTGACCTGGTATCCATGTCAGGGTCATCTTATTACGGCACTCTCACATGCTAGGACCTCTTGGCAGTTTCTTACAGTCTTTGAGGTACACTGGGATGCTTTTAATACCTTTGGTCCCGAGTCAGTGTCCCCAAATATGTTAATTTATTTCCACACAAGTTACTTCCTTTTCAGCATCCTGGTGCAGATTTCAATCGCATGCAGTTCTGCTTGGAATATGCTGGAATATGTGCCAACCCCAACCCCTTCGTGCTTGTCTTGCAACAAGCAACCCCTTGCTTTGGCTTTCCCTACCTCCCCCCACCGGGGCGGATATAAGAATAAATATGATTTAAAAAATAGGAAAGTCCAAATTCACTAATTTTGAGATTTTTGACGAGAAAGAATTAGAGATTTGCTTCGGCTCTTTCTAGAACACACTTTGCTTAGATGCGAAAGTGAATAAGGCCAGTTTTTATTAAAAAATATATTAAATTCTAAAATTAAAAATATTAATCCAAAAAAAAAAAACTAAATCTAAACAGCGTTGTGTTAATGACATTATTTATATTTAATGAATGGGTGTTAGAATTACTCTGTTATTAAATGCATTGCTTTTTTTTTGTATAATGTTTGAATATGTGATAAAAGTTAACCAACCAATACAAAATTGGTAAATTTGGTTTTTTTTAAACAATCAGTATTCTGATGCCAGAATATATTATGTACGCACTCGTCTTTTTTGCGAGTGCCTTATTTGATTCGCCTAATGCAAAACTAAATGCAATAAGTAGATTCTATTCGCTGTTAAAGGTAGAAAGCCCAACACGGAATCCACAAATTCGTAGTCCAAAGCAAGAGGAAACGCCATCGAACTCGATAGTGCAGCCCATTATGACGGACTCGTTGAATGAGGACGATAACAATCCAGATCTCATACCTCCTACGTACGGTAAGAGAATACCAAGCATTAAAAATGAGAACGTTTGTAATATAGAAAGCTGTGCACGTTACCCTATCGGTTTCCGGGAAAGTTGCAACATGCATTATTGATAATTTTTTTTATTAATATTATTTTCTCAGGGTATTACTTCAAAAGCGAATTATATGTTGTAAAAATCTTATATTTGAAAAAATATTGCTTTTATCATCCTCCTTTCTAGCATAAAAAGGAAATCAGATTAAGTACTTTTGGAAAACAACAGACACAACTCGATCAATTTCATTTAATAATGCAAATATTATCTACAGAAAAAAGTGAAGACAAAAATGGGAGATAACACAGATAATAATTTTAATAGAATTAAAAATGAATATCATTAGAAATAAGACCGCCTTCTTGAACTATGTTTTCTTCCAAATCATTGATAATTTTTTTACGACGATAATGATGGACTTTGAAATAATATTCATTTCATTTCTGATGTTTGATTGCAGTCTTTTGCTTTCAGTGTGTTGGATACTATACTTTTTCTATGGCCATTAGTGTTTGAGTACATTCTTTCAAAACAAACGAATACATACATACTGACCGATGTGTTACGTAACCGAAAATCACAAAATTTCCAAAGACTTCTCTTTCTATGAACTCGCGTCGTTCTGGACGTCACCAAGAATTTCAAGTCGTGACCTATTCATAATTATTAGTACTGTTATATTGTCATTAATTTAATTTAAATCTACTAATTTTTTGTTTTTTTTACAACAACCAAGAGTTACAAGTTTACTTCAGCTATGTTGTTAATAATTATTTTGAAAAATCCTGCACGTTCATTAGCTAAAAATTATATTATAAAATATTTTCGTTTTTTGCATTCATAATTATTAGTACATTACAATTCATAATTATTAGTACTAGTACTCATAATTATTAGTACTGTTATATTGTCATTAATTTAATTTAAATCTACTAATTTTTTGTTTTTTTTTTACAACAAGCAAGAGTTACAAGTTTACTTCAGCTATGTTGTTAATAATTATTTTGAAAAATCCTGCACGTTCATTAGCTAAAAATTATATTATAAAATATTTTCGTTTTTTGCATTGGGTAAGTCGATTCATATCAATTCGAGTTTCCTAATTTAGGTTTGAGGACACCAAAATTCGCTCTACTGCCAAATTATATAGGTTATCCTTTATTATCTGCAGTTATTATCATCTACTTTTTTTCAAAAAACTTCATCTGAGTTGTTGCATTATGTTTCCAATGTTATCCACATTTTACTGTACTGAACTAATTATAATTTATAATTTCTACCCTTCCTAAAGAGAGTGTGTTGAAGTTCTTCAGAATTAAATTTTTCTGCATCCCTCAATCATTATTATTGTTTATGCTTGCTTGGCAAGAGTACAACGTCGCTAGAAGTAAAAATGTTCCCAGGGTACACCCTGGTTATCCCTGTTTATCCAGGAACGTCGATAACAAATTTCCCCAGTCAAATTCTCCTCAGAACATTAGACACATTTTTAAGAGATGCTATACCAAATTACAAGTACAACTACAGCACAACTTAAACGACATTGTGGACGCGGCTCGCGAAGCAACTAAAATAAACTATGCTAAAATTGATCCATGACGGTGCTGGGCGTGCAATAACCCGTAAAGGGGTGAGCGAGGGAAACATACAATTAGATACATTTTTAAGATTATTAATATCTATACTGCGATTAATTCTTAAAGCATGTTGGCCTCCACTTGATTTTTATTTTACTAGAAAAACTAAATTTTTACTGTTTGCACTAGGTATATTTCATTGCAAATTTCAAGCAGTTTTTTGCAATAATTACATGTCAAGTTTACGAACTGTAATGCAGTTCCACAGGATTCTATTTTGGGTTCATTATTTTTTCAGTTTATATCAATGCTCTGTTTTGCCATACGAACCCTTATATTTGATTCGAGGTAGGAAATTTGAATATACTAAAAGCGTGAAAAAAAAACATCGGCACATACAATTACCATTTAAAAATTTTAAAACCAAAATAAAATCTAAATTTTTAGTATTGTTTTTATTCTTTCGATAAAAGATATTTGATTCATGATAGTGACCAGTATTTGATTGTGTTCTGTTTTTTTTTTATTTAGACATGCTGTGCAGACACACTCTGCATTGTTCAATTAACAATCTATACTATTTACTAATCTTCGGTCGGTTGTTGATGAATCGAACTTGCTGACGTTTCGCCAATCATCCTGTTGGCTTCTTCAGAGCTTAACTAAAATAGTTTCAGTACACCTATCGGTCTTTATTTATGCTGTAGCGTTCCTTTCACTTAAGAGATTTAATTAAAAGGAAACGGCAAAAGAAAACACCATTCAATAACACAACCGGCTTACAAACAGGAATAAAACACCCTTTTCGTATATAAATTGGCCGGTTTCAACGAGTCCTTTTACTGGAAAACGAGTTTTCTAACTTTATAGTGATCAGTCAATATGTGAAAACTTCAGCGTCGACCGAGGGTTTTCTCGGGAGAACGGACCGCCTTATTCGAGAAGCCCGGCGGGAGTTTCATTATTAATACGTGCTTTTTTTGTCGGAATGAAGAAAAATAAAGAAAAACTTTGGCTTTATTATCTTATTAATCTTCATTAAAAAGTTTCGCAATGGCGCTAACGTCCGAAAAAAATATCGTTCCCTTCCCTTAATCAATTGTTGAAAATTATAATTGATTACAGAATGTGGGTATGTACAGTGTGACCCATTTTTGATGGTTTTGCGGCATACGTTCCTTATTAATAACGGCGTGTTGCTGCTTTCGTGACCCAAAGCTGCATTTTTATGAAATGAAAGCTGATACAAGCAGAAATGTCATAGCCAGCTGGGATTTTTAGATACACCGAATTTATGAACACTGTTCTGCATATCTTATTTTACATAGGATCCAGTGGCGTAGTCAGTTTTCTTCTAGTACTCACACCTTGTCTCTCTTTTAATAATTTTTAGGCTTAGGCTTGTTAGCTTTTAAAATGTTTAAAGTTATTAAAGGTCAGTTATCTGTCAAAATGAACTTGTTATATTTTGGGTCAACATAAGTCATGACAGAAGAAAGAGGAGGAGAAAATTAAAATAGTAATTACGAAATGTTTGACAGCTAAAGTATATTAGGAAAATGGAGACCTTTTTCCCATGCCCCACTCATAAAAAAAAAGAAATGAAAGGTGTATTGTTTTTATTTGACCTTGCTCTTATCTGTATACATTTTAGAAAAGCTCATAACAAGCCAGCAAAATTATTAAAACTTATACAGAGTGTTGCATTTAAAAAAACACACAAGTCTAGTTTGTATATCAAAATTTGGTAGTTTCAGAAGAAAAACGAGCACCCCACTGGATCCTACGTGAATAATCCTAATCAGACCAGTTTTTACATTTTACCACAAGCTGGAAAATTTCCAGAATTTTGGTTAACGAGAAGATCGTCCTGAAAATTTGATTGATAACATAAGCTATAACTATCTATCACTTTGTTACTTGTTCTGAAATATAGCATTGTCCGCTCCGGTTATTTTTGTATATTATTTCTTTATTTTTGTTTAAAAATTCGTATGCAAAATAAATTTTGGTTAGTTTTGTTTTTTATAGACTAAAACTCGTTCCAATGATATGGCAAGTTGCTATACATAAATGGTTAAGTTGTTATACATAAATGGTTACCATCCCGAAATAAAAGCCAGGTACTGGGAAAATTAGATATTGTTGCCATGCTTATTTAATAAAATATTTAAAATTGAAATAATTAAATACCGTTTTCCAAACCAAGTAACAGTTATTTAATTTTCCTTACTGTTTTCGTTCAATACGCCCACATAGCTGTTCCCTATGTAAAGTGGCATTGTCTCATTGTGGTTTTATCCAGGAGTGATCTTGAGGCTATTTTCAATAATCAGTTTCTCCAAAGTGAAAAAGGTTATTCACTAATACAAAATAAATTTGATTGTTGAGCTAAGAGAAGCCAATAACAAACTTGAGCGGGGTTTGGATAACATAGATCAGTCAACTAGAGGGCTTAATATTAGAGTTTTTGGTGAAAATGGTGAAAATGCGAACCAGCGCTCAAAAATATTTAAATTTTTCCAGCGAATGAACATCAAAGACACAAATGACTCGCCCATTGCTAAATATATCAAGGGGTTTCCGAAGATTAGCTCAGATCGGCTGCCAGCAATGCTGGTTCGGTTTTTGTGAATCGGTGCGTGCCTCAGTACTAAAAAACCTTAAATTTTTACTATTTTCTACGGATACAGTTATCAAGGAAGAATTAACCAAGTACCGCGTCGAGCTCTTATCTTCGCTGTTTTCTAATAAATCGGCGTGGTACTATAATGGTGTAATTTGTGTAAGGATTGACATCGTGCATCGCGTTGAGTGCATTAAGGATTTGAATGGGTTGAAAACATAACCTAAGGTACTTTTTATCAAAACACTTCATTGTGTATATGCAAGTTAAAATTCTCGTTAGAATAACTTTCATGAAGAATTTATTGTATATTTTGCTGTTTTCTATAATGGTACAGGTGGGGGTTTTGAGATCAAAATATGTGGCGTACACACAGTATATGTGCGTGCACAATTCTTATAAATTGCACTTGAGTTTCTAGGAATCATTAAAATTTTAAATAAGCTTTGTTTTGCAGTTGAATGTTTCTTTTTTATTTTATTGCAGAAATATCTCTATTCTTTTTCTCTCTTCTATAATTGCTCTTTTTTTTTGTCTTTAAAATTTTAGTCTTCAATATTATTCTGCCCTTTCTGCTCTTGTTTGTTAAGAATCGGATTTTTTTTTCATTTTTTTAAAATATGAAGATTAACACCAACTTACTGTCGATAAATACCGGTTTCAATAACTTTAAGTCCCTAGTAGCAGATACCCGTGACTTTGATGTCTTTGGTGACAAAAATCTCGCTGGAATTCGAAAATCTTCCCCCTAACGTTAATATTAACCCATTAA